CCAAATATGAACTATGGGAAGTAAACCTTTTAGGATACATGAGAATTCTGAAAATGACACAAAATCGTCTTGGCATGATCCTGATAAAATCCAAAGAATCTGCAATATTATTGGTTCTGACCTCGCATCTCGTCTTCAGTCTCCTTCCCATCATCATAACAGTTTCCCTGTGTCTTTTCTATATTTTCATGGTAATTGTTCTGATGAGCTTTCCTCTTTGGTACCTAGACTTTAAGAATTTAAGTGCAGTATTAGATTGGTGGTAAGGTCTCATCATTTTTCAGTTGAAATGTCTTGATATAACCCTAAGTTCTACATTAACAGTTTCTTTTATTGTACTTCTTGCTTGTGAAACTCCTTTCCAGCTTCTTGCTTTCCAATTAATGTCAATCTTCGAAAATTGAAATGCAATATCAATTGTTATCTTCTGTCTTCTTAATTCTTGTTCTTTTATTGTCCTCTCTCCTTAATAGTAGTTTTTCTCATATTCTCTAACACTCAGTAACCCCTTGCGTCCTAGTGGCTTTATTGCCTTTGATCTTCAAAAATTGAAATGCAATATCAATCGTTATCTTCTGTCTTCTTAATTCTTGTTCTTTTATTGTCCTCTCTCCTTAATAGTAGTTTTTCTCATATTCTCTAACATTCAGTAACCCCTTGTGTCTTAGTGGCTTTATTGCCTTGCTTGGGGTGAAATGATTTAAAAAAAAAAAATTATAGAATTGTCCCAATGGCAAAGAGCACTGTGAAAAGAATGTAAATGGGTTTATTTCAATTTCTCGATGCTTTGCCTTGCATATTTATTTTGCTTTTTTCTTTCTGTTATTGCTTATTAGAATTTTTGTCAATTTTGTTTGTTGGGCATTTCTGTCAATTACACTTAACCATGGCTGGTTACTCTACAGTCTGCATTAAATTAAAAGAGGGTGACCATTAAATTGGCAGTCTACTAGTATATTCTTATCCTTACCAAGAAATACTATATATACTTAAAAATTGTGATAGTAATCAAAATATTAGTATTGTCAATAAAATATCAACAAAAACAATTTGCCAGATCCCACATACAAGACAGGTTGGAGAATCAATCAGCGAAATGCTGTCACAAAAATGATGAATCCCAGTAATAGTTTTTTTTTTTTTTTCAAGAGTAAAAAGTATCTAGGTATGCAGTAATAATTATTAAGTTTAGTATGGTTGACCATGCAATTAGGGCTAAATGCTGTTGCTGAGGGTTCTGGTTGGCACTGTCCAATAACTTAAATTTAACCTTTACCATACTACAGGCAACAATAGTCACTATAGAATTTTCTCCCTTACTGCTATCGGTGACTTTTGTTGCCTGAGGTGGTTGCTATAAACAAGCATTTGTTAACTACTATTTCCGGTATTTTAAGCTGGAAATCACTTACTACTTCTTTTGAACAAGGCTAAACTGTTTTCCAACACCTTTTCGAATTCTTCTAGAGTCTACATGAGGTGTAACATTGATTAAACCCATGTTAATTTTTTCACGATATTTTGTAAACAAAACTGGCTGCATCACTATCCAACAAAGCCTTTATTCAGGAATTTTTCTTTGATTCAGACTCTGATGATGATTTTGAAGGCTTTACTTGAGGTGGATATTGACGGTGAAGTGGTCGGAGATGACAAGCATGCTAGAGGAAAGCAACGATGACCACTAGCAGCTACTATCATCCATGCCAGAGTAATTTTTTGGAAGCTACTGGTGACCATCAATATATCTGCTAGATGCTAGAATTATTTTGTCTATTTATAAATGATGAAATAATAACTTTATTTGTCAACGAGACAAATAAATATGAGTCGGGCGAAAGAAGGAGCAAACATCCTAGTGTCTTCCCGTATGTAAACGAGATATGAGGAAACGCATCACTTTTGACAAAATGAAAGCCTTTTTAGCGATTTTGCCTCATTTTGTTTTCAATGTCAAAACATGCATGCAAAATGTAATGCATTACATCAAAATATTACTTATTGATTCTTTTATTAGTGTGCAAAAATTAAAATCTATATGCAAAATGCAAAGAAAGTTATAACAATTTTAAAACAGTAGGTGTTCATGTTTTGCACCCTCAAAAAAATGCAGGGTGTGAGGGGAATAATTCTAGAAAGAAATTAGCGTGGTAGAGGTTAATAAACAAGTTCTCCTCCAGTTCCTTTCATATGAATGCTGGTGTCCCCCAAAGCTCTATCCTGGGTCCTACACTATTTCTGATCTTCATCAACAATCTTCCTGATATCATCAGTAGGCATCTATAGTGATGACACTATTATTTACTCCTGTCTCAATAGTAAACCCATTATCACTGAAAAAACTAACCTGGCTGCAGGTCTCGAAAAGAACCTCCAATCTGTGTTTGACTGGGGTTGTAAACTTTAATGCCTCCAAAACGAAACTGCTCTCATTTACCCACCATAGAGAAACCTCCCTGTCTATCAGCATGGCTGATGCCCAACTCCATGAGTGTCCCGCTGTGCCTTCTTGGTCTCACGTTCTCCACTGACCTGAGGTGGAACAACTACATTGAATCAATAGCTTCTTCTATCGCAAGGAAAGTTGGTTGTTTGTGTTGCACCAGAAGGTTTTTCTCGCCTGAGTCATCCTTCAAATCTACCATTTGTCCTTGCATTGGTCTGGTTCCCCCACTGTTCATCTCAAAGTCCTACACAAAATCCAGAGACCGTAGGTCCTGATCTATCATATCTTGTGAAGTCCTAACCTGGCATTTTGACTACAGTCACTTTCTCACATGTGATGTGGCTTCCCTCTATCTTTTCTACAAATATTTTCATGGCATCTGCTCTGACAAGCTACTTTCACTGGTACCCAATCTGCACGAATTTAAGCGTGCTACTAGGTTGGCATCTCATCCTTACACTGTCAAAATAGTTAAATGCAATCACCTCTTCTACTCCAACAGCTTCTTTTCTCGCACTTCCTGACAGTGGAACTCCCTTCCTTCTACTTGCTTCCCTAAAAGCTATAATCTTCAAATATTCAAATGTAATGTCAATCGACATCTTCCGATACCTTGATTCTGATCCCTATCCTTCTCTATATCTTTTTCTCAAACACCCCTCTTTACTCTTGTTCTCACTCTCTGTAACCCCTTGTGTGCTAGTGGCACTCTTGTCTTACTTGGGGTGAAATGATTAAAAAAAAAAAAAAAAAAAAAAAAAAAAAAAAGAGGAAAAGTGCAGATGTTTAATTTCCTTATCACCTATACTAAATTTGTTATAACTGATCTATAGACTGAGGTATTTAAAGTGTTTTGTATTTACTAAATCCACATCTTGAATTTTTATGATGGATTCCATTACTGCTTTCGTTCCAATTAAAGATTGTAGTTTTTGTTTTGGAAAGGTTTATCATGAGTCCTACTTCTTGGAATACTTGATAGAGGATTCTGCTTTTCTGTTCAAGATCATTCTTATACCAATTATGAATATAGGATGACTAGGTGATGCAAGTGTGGACGTGCAGGTGGTGTAATGGATAACAGCTCAGAAGTGGAAGTCAGAGAAACGAGTTCCAATTCATTATATTCACTTACACACAAATACCTCTGGGAAAGGTATGAATCCACCTCTTAACCACCCCCTCCCCAGCTACGGAATAATTATCAGGACTCAAAGGCTTCACTTCTTTGTAGCCTTTTTCAATTAATGATCTGAGAAGATGGTTGTATGCAGTTAGCATTTTACACATTTCTGAATGGATTGGATGCCATACATGACATTCATATGAAAGACTTGATCTGACAAAGCTACTTAAGAACATAAATCAAGCTCTTATATTAATGTTTTGGTTTTGTGGCAACTTGTGGTATTGGGAGAAACTAATGAGAGTGCAGACTATTCAATATTCAATTTCCTTATCACCTATACTAAATTTGTTATAACTTATCCATAGACTGAGGTATTTAAAGTGTTTTGTATTTACTAATTCCACATCTTGAATTTTTATGATGGATTCCATTACTGCTTTTGTTCCAATTAAAGATTGATGGGGGTTTCCTTTCTAACCTTCTGTTTGAAGTGTGGAATGTCGATATCTTGATTACGCCATTATTTTCTTTTCAAGTTACACATGCTATCTATTTCAGTTTCTGCTGCTGAAAGTCCTCAAGTGATGTGGTTTATGTTATTTGGTATAGTCCTATGTGATGCTGTAACTCCACTCCACAAAATTTGAAGGATAGTCCTCACTAAGACCTACATGCTTCATTCACTGAAGCCATTTTTAATCATTGATCTGAGAAGGAGGTTGTATGCAACGAGCAGTTTAGACATTTCTGAATGGATCGGGTGCTATACAAAACATCAATATGAAAGCTGCAATCCGACAAAACTATTTAAGAACATGACTCGAGTTATTAAGTTGATGTTTTGGTTTAGTAGCAACTTATGGTATTGGGAGAAACTACTCTGAGTGCAGACTATTCAATATTCACTTTCCTTATCACCTATACTAAATTTGTTATAACTGATCCTGAGGTATCTGAAGTGTTTAGTATTTACTAAATCCACATCTTGAATTTTTATGATGGTTTCAATTCTTGACCATAGTTTTGGAAAGGTTTATCTTGAGTCCTGTTTCTTGGATTTTGATCTTTTTGTTCCAGAATATTCTTATCCCAACCATGAATACCTACGTCATCAGTATAGCACCCTCACCACTCCCACCTTCACCATCAGTACATTAGCCTCAGGAGTGAAAGCAGGATCACTATTTTTGATGAGAAGATTCATTTGTGATGTGATATGGAATGCTAAAATAATCTGTGTCCGTCTCTTTACATCTGTACTTGTATATGTGTAGGACATGTGGCACTCATTTGGAATGCATGTCTTTTAAGCCAACCTATCTGCATAAGAATAAGACAAATAGTTTAAAAGAAAAAAAAAAAAAAAAAAAAGAAGATAAGTCAGGTTAACAGTAAATAAAAAAAGAGAACTTTATTTCTAATTAATTAACTTGCCCATAGTTTTTTCTTGGATGTTTCTCTGAAAGTTGGTGGAAGATTAGGTGGAATCGTATCTTTCGTTGCATCCTTATGTTTTAACAAAATCAAACTTTTCACAGTCACGTTTTCCATTCCATTCATCTACAGAAAAAGAAATAAAAAAATGAATTCATTAAAGAAATGGTAAAAAAAGGATTTTATATATATATATATACACACACACACACACAAGGTGTCCATAAAGTTCGTGTGCACTTTAAAAAATTTATAACTATTTGTATTTGCGATAGAAATAATCTGTAAAAAATGTTATAAAATCCCAAATCACCTCATATGGAGAATAAGCTTATTTCGACAGATGAAAATATAATTCGTCTGCCTTATCAACAATGGTATATATAGGTATACTGTTCTTTTATTGTGCTTTCTCTTCATGGAAGTTTTCTCATACTCTTTCACTCAGGGTAAATCTTGGTGCTTTACTTGGTGGGAAATGATTAAAACTTATCGATAATGCAAAAGAACTATCTCTCTATCTATATATATATATATTATGTATATATATATATATATATATATATATATATATATATATATATACACACACACACACACACAGGGTGTTCATAAAGTTTGTGTGCACTTTAAAAAATTTATAACTTTATTTGTATTTGCAATAGAAATAATTTGTAAAAAGGATTAGAAAGAAGTTAATCTATATTTTTCAAGGTTTTATTGAAATTTTATTTAAGTTTCTACATGTCCTCCATCATTAGCAATACAAAAGGGTAATACGATTTTGCAGTTCACGGAAAACATTTGCCAACTGATTTACAGTAATGCCTGAAATCACATTAGTTATTTTAGCTATACTTAAAACAAAGTACATTAGACTTTATAACATTTTTTTTGCAGATTATTTCTATTGCAAATACAAATAAAGTTATAAATTTTTTAAAGTGCACACAAACTTTATGGACACCCTGTATATCACACAGTATATCTTTCAATGTCTGATCTTGAGAGTGCTTGACAGGATACTATAATATTTCACAGTTCTATGATTTTCAAAAATTAAATTGAGATGGAGAGAAGTGTGGCTATGCCATGATATGTCTTGCATCTCGTATCATGGTATATCTATCTATCTATATATGTTTCATTAAAAACAACAAACAAGGTACTACGATTAAGCTTTTTACTTAATTTTTCTTGTGTTCAGACAAATGTTTTCTTTTTTGGACACAGAGTGTGTAGAAACTGTCCAAATGTTCTATAATTCCGAGCGCTTTTAGCCATTATCAATGATGATTTTATTTTTTTATTTAATCAAGTGTGTGTATCTTTTTAGTGTTATAGAGATGTTTTATTTTCCAAACACAGTACATTGTGGCCTAGTTGATAGTTAATATTGTTAAGTGTTGGCTTTTTCTTTTTTATTATTAGGGCTTCCATTATTTTTAATCTTTTTTTACAGGTGGGTGAAGTTATTATGCTTGTATTTTCTACTAGTTGTAGAATAACAATAATAAACAGCACTTACCGGCATAAAGGTCCCAGCTAGCATCCAGCTGGCAGACAAAAATAAAGCAGGTTGTAACTTAATACAAACCCTGCAAACTAACTGATGAATCAAGCTGGTATTTATATAGAAATACCTCCACTCAGGTACCAGCAGCCAATCACAGCCCAAGCAATGGACTATCCCACTTTAGCACAATGAGACGCTCCATGGCAACATAAATAGCTCTCTTTCTAAAGGTTGGATTATTATTCACTTAGCTTGCTCCACAACTGAGTGTTTATCTCTACCACATGATTTTTCTACACTAGTATGTTTCGGATGGAGTCTGGTAAGTTTTTGTCTGTGTAGTTAAATGGGTTCTAATAGAGCTGTGGTCGGATAGGTGTAACATAAGGTGTCTGGATAGGAATGTAGTTGTGTGACCGACGTAATTATTTATAAATTCGGTTTGATCAGGGGCATTTGAACTCATAATGATCATAATCGTCCTTCATAATGGCTAAAAGTATAACAGAAAGCACTTGGAATTATAGAACATTTGGGAAGTTTCTATACACTTTGTGTCTAAAAAAGGAAGCACTTATTTGAACACAAGAAAAATTAAATAAAAAAACTTAATCATAGTTCCTTGTCTGTCACTTTTAATGAAACATGCCTAAATACACAATGTATATATATATATATATCTCATCATGTTATTAAGTAGCTCACATTGTGATAATAGATCTGCCAAGATGAAATATAAGAACCTGGATGCAAATTTACTATCAATGATTTAGTGATTGATTATATATAAATAAAATGATTAGTCATGATAAATGTCCATTCACTCCTTTTTCTGAAACCCCCACCCCACCCAGTTGTCTTCAATGGGGTATGATTTCGCAATGGAGACACAAACAATCAGGAAGAAACATTCTAAGCTGGTTGATTTGGAAATGAACTGGCACTTACCGTTACTTGGAATTCCAATTCTTGAGGTTCTGTGATTGGTTCTTCAGGAAGTAGAATTGCTTCCTCAGTGATTTCCACACCCTAAAAAAAAAAAAAAAAAAAAAAAAAATCATGCTTAGATTTATTTCTCATGAAAGAGACGCCAGGTGGCATTGACTATGTTATGTGGACTCTGTTCAAAGATATTTCACAAAACCATCAGGTGAAAAGATAAACTCTGTAAAAGAAGATGTAGCAACAATAATTATATATATATATATATATATATATATATATATGAAAAAAAAAACTTGGAAATACAACTGGAGTCTTTAACAATATTTATTTAGAGTAACTTTACCGGTTTCACAATTCAGTGATTTTCCAAAGATAAACTGAGATTGAAAGAAGTATAGCTATGTCATGATATGTCTCGCATCTCATATTATGGCATATCCACACTGATATATATATATAATATAAAAGTGAACATTGAAGTCAACACTCAGATGAGACAGGCTGTTTCATGCTAGACGCAATCGCCAGGTCTCCTGACGCATTACGCCCAGCATGAAACAGCCTGTTGCCTCTGAGTGTTGACTTCAATGTTCACTTTTATATTTATGTTTACATACGCTCTATCTCTGATATTGAGCCCTTTATCCCATAAATATAGCACACCTTAAAACTATATTTCTTCACATATATGTTTCTGTGTGTATATATGTACGTTTTAATTTATGCTATTTCCTAGGTTGCATCATCTTTCGAAATAGTGAAGTCAATTGGCCATCATGATCGTGTGACTTGATGCCTTTAGATTTCTTCCTTTGGGGTCATCTCAAAAGGTAAGGTCTATGCCAAAAAGCCAACAATTCAACAGCTGGAGGATGAGATAATAAGGCATATTGGTGAGATCGAGGTGCAACTATGCAGAGATATCATCAAAAATTTTGACCATCAAGTGGAGGTGTGCGACTGAAGCCTTGGCGTACATTTGGGGGATATTATTTTTCACACATAATTGCCACGACTTAACATGATCCAAAAGAGAAATAAATAAATTTTCACCAATAATACTGATTTGTTTACTGCTGACTTTGATCCGCCTTAATGAAACACCATTTATACATGTATACACACATGCACATATATATGTAAGATAAAGAGTAAATAGGAAACGTTTATCAATATGTTTCACTTTTAATAAAATTTTGTCAGAGAATGAGATGAAGCTTTAATAAAAGTGAAACATGTTAGATTGATAAATGTTTTCTATTTGTTCTTTATTGCCAGTTTCCAATCCATATTTGATCCCAACTTGTGTGCTAAATGATTCACATGGAAAAACTAAACAATACTAAGGACTTAAGAAAATATTAATGTTCATATCCACCATCATCTTTTATGGCATGGGCAAAGTACAGGAGTAGTAGCCAGGACTGTGGTGTCATAGTTGAAGGAACTTTGGGTTACATATATGCATTTTAAGTTATACAAAATCAGAATAAGCATTTAAATTAATTCTGTCATTTCTTTATCTTTTAAAAAGAAATAACACTTTAAGTAAAATCATTAAAATAGTTATTAGTGATATAAATGGATATAATTAAAAAAGAAAAAAAAGTCAAGGAGAAAACCGCAACTACATTTGTTAAGAAAATAGGAAAATGAAATGAAAAAAAAAAAGAAAAAGAACAATGTAAAATAGAAATAAAGGAAAAAAGAAAAAGAAAAAAAAAAGAAAAGAGAATTAAGTAAGGAAGAAAAAGAAGGAAGAAAGAAAAAGAAGATGGGGGAAAGAAAAAAAAGAAAGGAAAACAAGAAAAAAGGGAATAAGTAAGAAAAAGAAAGAAACAGTAATTCGGACTTTGCTAACTAGACACTTTTTTGTGACTGAACGGTTAAGAGCACATCAGATCAAATGATGCTTTCCATTGGAGGTACAGGTTCAATTACTGTTGGAGAAGCACATATTTTCTACGAAATTACTAAAACATGCCGGTAAATGTAATTAATACTGTTTAATTAAAAGAACAGAGCATTTACTTAAATAAATTATATTTATAAAACTAATGTGTAAATGGAAAATATATCAAAATAATTGTTGGACTTAATCCAATTTATAATCCATTATAGATAGAGATATATATATATATATATATATATATATATATATATATATATAGTCGAAATTTCCTTGTCTATCAAATTTAACTTAATAGAACACACACACACGTGTGTGTGTGTTCTATGTTAAATTTGATGGACAAGGAAAATTTCGACATAAATCAAATTACTGAAAACATCTCACTATAAGAGAGGCCCTGTACATCAAACATCTCTCCTCTACCATCAACCTCACTCTATTAAACGATGAGAGTAGTCTGCTGATGAAAGTCTTTTAAAAAAAGAAAGATGATCACTAAAATTCCAGCCATGCTCAATATGGAAGGCTTGGAATAAATGCTCCTACTAGTAATGAAAAACCACACAAATAATAAATCTCTAACAGTCAAAATATGAAAAGAAACTAACAAGACCAAAACAAAGCCCCCTTGAAAATGGCTAAGGAAGTGGCTGAAAGTGCTTGGGACAATGGAAGATATGGACAGTTTTTGTACTCCCCCATTTCCACCAAATGGAAAAATTTAAGAATGCTGGAAAAACTAAATAAAAAATTTATAAAATCTTCCTTGTCTGTCATATTTAACTAAAAGATGTTTAAAAAAAGAAACATTGTGGGCCAAGTATACATTAATCACACACTATATATATATATATATATATATATATATATATATATATATTAAGAAATGGACAAATCCGACATTTTTTATTTATTAAAGACATTTTTTTATGTTTATGATTGTTATTTTATAGATACAGAATTTATTCGCTTTTGACAGGATATATAGGATGTATTAAATCTAATCGTCAAAGGCCTAATATTTTCTATGAAAATTTCGGACATTCAGGCCGGTAAATGTTATTTAATACTGTTTATCATAAACAGAGCATTTGCTTAAATACTTGTATCTATAAAATAACAACGTTAAAAATAAAAAAATTACAAAAAAAATATATATATATATAATATATATATATATATATATATATATATATAAAACATACACACAAAAGGAGAACATACATACTGTATATACTTGTGTATTGTACAACTTTCAAGACTTAATTTTGAAGCTAATTTTAAGGGGGTAGCATCATAACAAGATATAAAATTAGTGTATGTACTGCTGGTTCTGGCTATGCTGTTGACCAAACTACATATCCATTTACTGTAATCAAAAAGTATGGCTGTATTTAAAATAAATATGATTTTGATAAAAGTTGATGTTTTACTTAACTGTATCTAATAATAATGCATATAATATTCACACATTAGTATTGTATTATAATATATATATATATATATATATATATATATATATATATATATATATATATATATAGATGAAGACAGAGGGATAGCTATATAAAGATGAAGACAGAGGGATAGCTATATAAAGATGAAGACAGAGGGATAGCTATATAAAGATGAAGACAGAGGGATAGCGATATAAAGATGAAAGCATAGATAGGTAGATTGAAAGAGAGAGAGAGAGGAGATAGCGATATAAAGATGAAGGCATAGGTAGATTGAGAGAGAAGAGATAGTGGTATAAAGATGAAGGCATAGGTAGATTGAGAGAGAAGAGATAGCGATATAAAGATGAAAGCATAGATAGGTAGATTGAGAGAGAGAGAAGAGATAGCGATATAAAGATGAAGGCATAGGTAGATTGAGAGAGAGGAGATAGCGATATAAAGATGAAGGCATAGGTAGATTGAGAGAGAGGAGATAGCGATATAAAGATGAAGGCATAGATAGATTGAGAGAGAAGAGATAGTGGTATAAAGATGAAGGCATAGATAGATAGATAGGGACTTAATCCTTAAGCACCAGGTATTCACCCAAACACATTTCATTAAATACAACTATCTACCGTATATACATGCATATCATGTGACTTCTGAAGACCTAATTTTTAAGCTAATTTTAAGGGGTTCGCATCACACACTAGATATAAAATTAACATATGTACTTCTGGCCATGGATACACTGTTGACCAAACTATATGTCCATTTACTGGAGTCAGAAAGTACAGCTGTATTTAAAATAAAAGTGATTTTGATAAAACTGATGTTTTACTTAACTGTATCCAATAATAATGCATGTAATATTCACATATTAGTATCATATTATAAAATACAAAAATAGCGAATATGTATCTTTTCCATTGTTTATGTTTATAAGATGTTTAGCTGTTTCTCGTTCTTTTGTTTATGGCTGTACGCGTTAATGCAATGAGTATAGCTTTACTAATGATATTTTTATCATTCTCTTTTGCTTTTTTAACTGATTTAATTAGAAGATGGGATAAAGAGATCAATGAAAAAGCTTAGTCTATTGTAATTAGGTCTCTCAAAAATGAACTCACATGATACGAGATACATGATAAAATCATATTTTTGTAATATATATATATATATATATATATATATATATATATATATATATATATAGATATATATGAAAATTAAGTATATAAAGAAAAAGAATTCAAAGTAAATACTTACAACCAGCCTGAAGGCCACTTTGATGTGTTTGGCTGTCAATGTCCATGGAGTGTCACCACTCATTGGTATGACTAAAAACATGGTGGACAGGGTGTCCATTGCCTAACAGATCAAATAGAAGGAGGGGGAAAAAAAGTTATGTATCAGATTAATTTACAAATATATCAATGTATACAATAAAGTAATATAATTTTTTACTTCCTAACATCAATGTTTTTTCTTGTATCTGGATTGACTAATTAAATTTTTCACACAGCATAAGGGATTTTCTGCAGGCACCCCCTTCATATAACAGGCAGAGATTTCTTGAATGCATCTCCCGCAAAACAGGTAGAGACTTCTTGCACGTATCTCCCGCAAAACCGGTAGAGACTTCTTGCACGTATCTCCCGCAAAACCGGTAGAGACTTCTTGCACGTATCTCCCGCAAAACCGGTAGAGACTTCTTGCACGTATCTCCCGCAAAACCGGTAGAGACTTCTTGCACGTATCTCCCGCAAAACCGGTAGAGACTTCTTGCACGATCTCCCCAGAAAACCGGTAGAGACTTCTTGCACGTATCTCCCGCAAAACCGGTAGAGACTTCTTGCACACACCTCTGGCAAAATTGGTAAAGAATTCTTACACACACCTCTCACAGTAAAGGTGTAATTATATCAATTCCATTTAAAAATACCTGTTTATTCAACTAATTTTGGCAGAGACAGTGTCTAATAATATTTCCTTGCAATCTGAGTTTCTCTCAATGTGATATTTTGATTACATATAAATTTATGACCAAATTTTTTCCTTGCTAGAATCTAACTTACACCTTTATAAGTCTATCATTTGTGCATTGAATATTGCTGCCACATGGGGTTTGGTGCTTCTGCCATGCATCTAGAAATTCTTAACAAAATCCAAAGAGTTTGCAATGTTATTGGTCCTGACTTGACATTGCAGCTTCAATCACTTTCCCACCAATGTAAGGTAACTTCCTTGTACAGTTTTTTATAAATATTTTCATAGTAACTGTTCTGAAGAGCTTTGGTGCCTCAACTTTATGATTTTAAGTGCAGTACGAGATTGGCAGATAGGTCTCATTATTTTACTGTTGAAATTGCTAGTTGTAACCATAAATTCTAAGTTAACAGTTTCTTCAACCACACTTCTCAATTCTCCTGACCTCTTTCTTTCCAATCAACTTTGATCTTCAAAAAATCTAAATGTAAAGTTAATCATTATCTGCTCTTTGAGTCAAGTTCTTTTATTGTCTTCTCTCCCCTTTTTTCTCAGGCTCTTTCACTCACAGTAAACCAATGTCTTAGTGACTTTATCACCTTTCTTGGGGGTGAAGTCATGTAATTTTTTTTATTTCTCTAATTCTAAAATTAATAATAAAAATATAGAGGTTCTTTCAATGTCTGGGAAAGAAGGTCAACTGTAAAGCAATGATGGACATCTGCAGTCTAATGAACAAATTTCTTAATTTTTGGACAGATGTATAATTAGTGATTAGGAGAAAAAAAAATGTATGATTTTACAAGAATATAAAGCAATGTAGACAATGATGGCAAGCAAACTAAAGTAAAACTGTGGGCCATCATTTGCAGTTAAAATGTTTTGATGCTGCTTTGAAGGAAAAGTAACAGTCTGAAGGATTGCAATTTTATCATCTATTTTAAAGTATTCTTATTGCTTAACATTTAATTTTTCTCTTATTATTAATTGCTTTTGTTCCAGAAAAAAAAAGAAAAGAATATTGAACTGTTATTTTATGTTAGATTATCTCCTTTGCACTGTTAAGACAACGTTGTAGTGTTTGAATAAAGCCTGTATGCATGAATGTATCTCTATATTTCTGAGATGAGGTATTATGTACACTATTTACATTATTCAGACTATAGTCCTCTCTTTGTTGCCATATTTATTACAACGTTTCAGCCCTTCAGTATCTATCTATATTTCTGAGATGAGGTATTATGTATACTATTTACATTATTCAAACTATTGTCCTCATCTTTGTCGCCATATTTATTACAATGTTCCGGCCCTTCAGTATCTGTCTATATTACTGAAATGAGGTATTATGTACACTATTTACATTATTCGGACTATTTTCTTCATCTTTGTCGCCATATTTATTACGTTTTGGCTGTTGTACGCTCCGGCCTTCTTCAGGTGGTTGGAATGTCGAACTGAACCCTTTATTTCACTCGCTGGGGTAGACTGTTCTAATTCCACGTGCCATGTCTAATGGATGTCAGTTATCTCCTGCTAATTCCGCTCTCCAATATGGCGACAAAGATGAGGACAATAGTCTGAATAATGTAAATAGTGTACATAATACCTCATCTCAGAAATATAGACAGATACTGATGGGCCGAAACGTAATAAATATGGCAACAAAGATGAGGACAATAGTTCGAATAACGTAAATAGTGTACATAATGCCTCATCTCAGAAATATAGACAGATACTGAAGGGCTAAAACGTTGTAATAAATATGGCAACAAAGATGAGGACAATAGTTCGAATAATGTAAATAGTGTACATAATACCTCATCTCAGTAATATAGACAGATTCTATATTTTATTTAATTTTATTTTTATAATCTTTTTCTTTCTTTACTGTTAATTACCAATTTTATCGTCTATTTTAAGATATTTTTATTGCTTAATATTTAATTTTTCTTTTATTATTGTTTTTGTTCCAGACAACTATATAGTCAAATAATAGGTACTGAGGGTTATTTAGTGATTTATTTGTTGCTATCACTACAGAACTTTATGACTTCTCCTTGACATTTCCAAATTGCCAGCATCATTTTTTCTTTGTCACTGATATTACATAAGAATCGGCACATATGCTAGGCTAGAAGGTCCTCCTTAGAAGGCCTAGCATGGCAGTAAATATAATATGGGAGCTGTTAATAAAGAAAGAAAGGCAAATGAAATGAAAGGAAGCCATCAACTGCAGTAGCAGCTACAGTCAAAACATGACAGACAGCAGCAGCAGTTGCAACCTAATCAGCAGCCAGGTTAGGTTTAAGGCTTCCAGTTCATTATGGGACAATGGCCAAGTGGATAAAAGCAAGGTTTGTGAATTTGGTGACATAGCAGTTGTGAGTTTAATCTATGGGTCAGGCAGTGTGGACTTTCACTCAGTAGAAACGGGCAGTAATCCCCGAAAAGTTTAGAAACCACTGTATTCGACCAAAACTGGAGCATTGTTGCTATATAGGAGTTAGCTGGCTGCTGCATCTGACTTGTCATTAGGAGCCCAAACTCTTTGATAGCACTTAGAGAGGCTGCTCTGATCAACAGTTGCATAATATTGGGGTATCTATCGTACTATGTTGCTCATGAGTAGGGGTCTGTGCATGTATTTCTTTCTTTACTGTTAATTACCATTCTTGTTGCCTATTTTAAAGCATTTTCATTGCATAACATTTAATTTTTCTTATTATTAAGTAGGAACAGGTTAGCAATAACTGAACAGCAGTAAATAAGAATAAGAACTAATAATAATCCAAGGAAATAGAAATAAATATATGGGAGAGACATAAATGACGGCATGTCTTTAACAGCAGCAGCAGCTTTAACAAAAGAGAAACCTCCATTACTTCAACCCTGTGTGTCCACACCTGAGTTGCACGTTGATGAATTGCAAAACTGTTTTCTTTTGACTCAAAAGGCAATTATGGATAAACAGTATATAGCATGAGGAATTTAGATGAAGGCCAGTCCTGACTGTTAGATTAGACAAAGTCATGATTAACATGTTAAAGTTAATTAAATATAATTATTTTATTTTAAATAAATATTTTAAAGCAAATAGTATATGTGTAAAAATGTTCTCAACTCAACGTGTGAAAACCAACATAATGTCTAATAAATATACACACATATTATCATCTGAATCACATATTGACTATAAAAATTCTAGTTTGTCTGACAAAGTCATAACTAACATGTCAAATTAAATATAATTTTTATTTTAACAAAAGGGAAACCTTAAGTCGAGTATGACAAGCAGAAGCAGTACTCATCAGCAAGCAGGTTAGGTTTAAGGCTCCAAGTTCTCCACAGAGATGGGACAATAGGCCAGTGCATTAAAACATGAATTTGGCAACATACATATTGTGAGTTCAATCTGTGGGCAGGTTACTTCATTTCAGTGGAAATGGAACAAGCAATAACTGAGTAGTACTAAATTAGAACTAGATGACATATCCCTCGATGGGCAATGAAATGAGAACATTATAGTCACTTTAGATTAAATAAAGGGTTCAGTTTGGAATTCCCTGTAAGTTATTTGGATCGATATACACCTGATGAAGGCTGGAAGATACAACAAATGAAATAAAGTTGAGGACAATAGTCCTCAGGTAAATAATGATAAATCTTCAACCCAGACAGAGTTAAAACGAGGATGTTGAAATATTCTTCCAAGCCTAAATTAGGATATAGTTTAAGGGAGGACATTATACAACTGCGGAAAAAATATCAAGAAAAGTATTAGGAAATGTTTTGAAAAGACTTCATACTTACGATTCTAGCCCAGGGAGATCCCAGGCGCTTAGGTTTTTCCTGAAATTAAAAAATATATATAATGCAGTAAAAAAAAAAAAAAAAAAAAAAAAAAAAATCGGGAAAAAGTAATAAATGAAAAATAAATTAAGAAAAAAAAATCACAAAATACATGAAGTGAAAAGAGATGTTCTCTAGAGAATCATAGAACAACAGCATGGACCCAGACATGCAGAATAGAACACAAGAGTCCAACAAATAAATAATAACAATAATATGGCTGAAGTGAAAGGAGGCATGTCCCTTAGATAAGCATAGAACTACAGCATGGACCCCACCCTGCCAGATAGAACACAAGAGACTAACAAAGAAATAATAATGTGGAAGGAGACATGTTCCTAACAGAAGCATAGAACTACAGTGTGGACGTAGCCCTGCAGGATAGACCAACAAAAAAAAAAAAAAAAAAAACAATAATAATAATCTGGATGAATTGACATGTTCCCTAGAGAAGCATAGAATTACAGTATGGACCCATCCCTGCAGGATAGAACACAAGCGATCCATAAAAGAAAAGAAATACTACTACAACAAAATGTGGTTCTAGAAGCAATTTATAGAAATCTATTCAACAAAAACACATGCTTAAAAGGCTGGTTTCAAAAACTCAAATTTACACCCTGGACAATAACTGTTTTCGTCTTTATTATTGCAACTTTTTTGTTTCTTAATATGAAAACATTTACACTTACCCCACTTAAAAACTCTTTTATATTTTCAGGAGAAGCATACATTGCCATTCCAGCAGGATAAAGGATTTTTCTAAATAATTTTCTTTTCACACTCACAAGTTCATGTTTGTAGCCAATACCTGCAATCAAAAGAAAAAGAATTACAAAAAATAACAAGGTAGAATGTGCAGACATAAAAATTAAGAGCTCACCACTGATTGTCACATTTTTTTTTTTTTTATTATTACTCAACTATTAGCAATTTGCATTATTCACAGTAATCTGCATTATTCACAGTATTTTTTTTTTTTTTTGTTAGCTCTGTTGATTTTACTCAAGATAATTTTTGCTGTTGCCAAAGCAGGATATGAAAACACAACCATAAAAGTTAAACACACTATTTTTCAATAAGAGTTACTTTCATTGGCAGGACAAGTGTTTCACTTGATAAAAAAAAAGTTGACTTCAGAGTACTAAAGGTTAAATGCTGCAAATTAATCTGGATGTCAAATCACTTGTATTTATAAATCATCTGATCATATGCAAATAAATAAAGATGTATTCAGGCAACCTCCAAATTATAAGCATGTGAAACTTGCAGTTGTATTTGACTTTAAAGAGTCAAGAAAAACTGTTGTGGAACTTAGTGATGGATTGGCCTTGTCTGAATGTTATTTTAGGGTTAAAAAGTACCTCACTCGACAATAACAGGATTGTAATCTAAGCAAAATTATACAAGGTACAATGAAATATAATTCAGAAATGGTTTGTGTTTTTAGTGACATAAGAAAAACTTTTTAGCATGTTAAATAATACACAATAAGTAACATTGAAGGCATAGATAATTTAAGTTATAATTAAAAAACATTTTTTAAGTACCATATTTGCTGGCATATAAGGCGCATGTTTTTTACTAAAAAATATCTTTTAAAATTCCCCTGCATCTTATGTCATATGTAGGTTTACTAATTTTACTAATTACTAATTTTTTCTTGATTTGCCCTGCTGAAATTGGGGTGTGTCTTATATGGTGTCAAATACAGTATATTCTAGTGTCTTGGCTTTAGTCACTTTCCCATCGCCGTAAGGTTGCCTGCCTGTGTCTTTTCTATAAATATTTTCATGGTAATTGTTCGGAGGAGCTCCTACTTTGATGCTGGTTAGGCATTAGGATATTGTTCTAAATGGATTGAACATTGGCAACCCAGTTCAAAATTAGGTGAGCTCAGGGTTGTTTATTGTCTTTAGTTTCTTTTTTCAAAGTTTACTTAGCAAGGGGATGAAAGTCTATTGGTCACATTTATTTCTGTCCCCCCACCCCCCACTTTCTTTAATTCCCTTTCACCTCCCTTTTTATGTAACCAGAGATGTCAGTTCTCTGGTAGATGTGGGACGCCTTTCATATTTTGGGTATGATTTTTGTATTTGTTGTTGTGTTTGAATGAGTGTGTCTGAGTGAGTGGTTGGTCAAAAGAGTGTTTTATATTATTAAGGTCCCAGATTAATTTTGTCTGGTGAAATGATGTTTCTGTCACAATTATTGTTTGGGGGTAGGGGTGGTGGTCATTATTAACACTATTTGATTTAGTTTCTTGTGCATAAAATATTTCATATTGCAAATACACATTGGGGCTTAGATTTTTAAATTGTTGTTTTATCTCTATTCCTCCACAGACAAGAATTGTACATATGGGGACTGGTTAGAACTTCATAGAGTTCTCGGGAATTATGGTGGATATAGTAAGAATGATAAGTAAGAAAGTTTTGTTTTGATTTAAGGAATATTGTGGTATGTTTCAGTCAGTGATTGTAGCTAGTTAAATTTAATTATAAAATAGAAAACAACCATCTTTTCCCCATCCCTCCTTTTGGCTTTGTGCCACATTTTTGTAGATTTTTACAAAATAAATATTGTTTTTCACTATGGTACCTAGACAGGACCAACGGCTGGTCTTGTAGAGTACATTGATCCAGTGGGGTCAGGATAGATGCTACGTTAATACTTAATTAATATTTAAGATAACACCAAGGCAAAAAAGAAATAAAGTACTAACTATTACACAAAATGAAACATCAGATAAATGATAAAGTACTATTACAGAAAAATGAAACATCAGATAAATGATAACATGCAAGCAAATATTTAATTTCCTGCTTAAACACTATTTTATAAACACACATGGTCTGGTGCCCCTGCTATTTACCCTGTGCTTTGATAAGAACCAAAGAAGAATCTGCAATATTGTCAGTCCTGACATGGCAGCTCAGCTCCAGTGATTTTACCACTGCCATAAGGTTAACACTATGCCTTTTCTATAAATACTTTCATGGTAATTGTTCAGATTAGCTCTTTGCTTTGGTAGCTAGACTTTTTGAATTTAAGTGCAGTACTAGACTGGCATTGAGATCTCATCAATTTATAGTTGAGCTAGCTAGATATAACCATAAATTCTATGCTAATAGTTTCTTTTCTCACACTTCTCACTTGTGGAACTCCCTTCTGGCTTCATGCTTTTCAGCCAACTTTAATCTCCAAATATTTAAATGCAATGTCAATCACTATCTACTGTCCTCCTGATTACTCTTCCTGCTCATTATTAATGTTTCTGTTCCTAATTCTTATACACCCTGTAGCCCCCTTGTGTCTTAGTGGCTTTACTGCCTTGCATGAGGTGATACTGATTAAAACAATATCTGGGCTGGAGATGCTCAATCTTCACTTTCCCAGTTCAGAATCATTAGTACATTCTTGTGATGGTGTTCAGAAATTGATATGGCAGCTCAATTACAAAAAAAAAAAAAAAATAAACAAATCACAAGTCCAAACTCAAAGATTCAGGGGCAGAAAGAAATGCTGAAATCATGAATCAGAGGTCTAATGTCAAAAATCCCACTACATGTAAATGGTCATAAATTCAACACACAAAGCAACAGTCACCTGCATGCTGATGAATGAGGTAGAAAAATGAACTAATTCTCAATTCAAGAACACCAACCGCTTTTTTCATTGGTTGACAGTTGGAGAGGATAAACAATTTTGTGTACCTAGTTAATGTGAGTAAGTGTTGTTCCCGGCCTGCCCCCCGGCCACATCTTTAGTTATGATCCAGCCTGAGATTCCCAACCTCCCCAGTTTGTTTTTTGGCCCCCCCCACTTTCTATCTCGACTGGGTCAGCTTTATACTTTCCCATGCCCGTATGATTTTTTATCACCTTTCCCACTCCCTTAGCGAGAGAGCTGCTTGATTTTGTCCCATGGGCAGAATACAGTGGCCTCCCTGCCTTTTGAGGGTTGGACGGGCCCTACTAACATCAGTTATGTTTAATTTGATTTGTGTTAATATTTTGGTTCATTATTGGGTTCATCTCCCTCCTCCTCTCATTTTTTCATCATAGAATTTTGTACATAGGTGTTAGTATCATTAAATTATTATGACACGGGGCGCGTTTTGTAGGTCTCCCTAGAGTGGATGTGGTATTATGGTGCATGGTGGATTGATTGGTGACGGACGAGTTCTTATGGTGAATGAGTAAATTGTAGCGTATGAATGGGTCATGAATCAAATTAGCTAGGTATAAGATAGTTAGTGAAGACCAGCCTTTTACCCCCCCCTTTTCGGCCTTGTGCCATAATTTTGTATTTATACGAAATAAATCTATATCTTAGATGCATTTATGGCAACAGTTGCTACTGCCTTGTTTCTATTTTGTCTTTGGCAATATCATACAGAACACATGTACCCTTTTTTTCTCAGTAAGTGACATTCTCTTTCGCCACAGAGGGAAGACTTATTCTCCAATCTCTTTCCTATAGGTTCAACATTGCAACCCTTTTTCTATTCTATTGTCATTTCCATGGTAAACATTCAGTAGAGATCGATGTTTTAGTTCCACCAGTTCAGACTTGGACATACCATGCTACATCCACAGAGTTGAGTCACTCATTTTTTTTCATATTCCAATTTTAATCAGGAAGTTCCATTCAAGCTTTTCCTGAGGACTGCTACTTTGTGGAATAGACTCCTGTGCAATTTTAACCTCTTCAAGTCAAGGGACAAATGTTATCCATTCTCCTTATCCTCATAATCTTCACTTCCTACCACCTTCTCTTTCATTCCTATCAAACACCTCATTCATCATAACCATTTTAACAGTAACCCTCTGCATTACAATCTTAACTTTTCATGTCAAGGGTCAATTGTTATCTATCCTCCTTATCCTCATAATTCTCACTTCCTACCACCTCCTCTTTCATTCCTTTCACACACCTCATTCATTAACCATTTTAACAATAACCCTCTACATTACAATCTTAACTTCTTCATGTCAAGGGTCAATTGTTATCTATCCTCCTTATCCTCATAATTTTCACTTCCTACCATCTCCTCCTTCATTTCTATCACACAGCTCAGTAGGGGAAAACTGGCTGGTCATATTCAATAGCTCGAAAACCAAACTAGCAACATTCCATCATTGCTGATCAGACTCAGAACTTTCACAAATTGTAATGAACGGATAGTCCCTCAGAGAGACCCCATGTCTATTGGGACTTGAACACAATCCAGACCTCATACATACAATTTATTGCTAAAGATGCAGGAAAAATGGTCAGTTCCCCATATGGCTCCAGTAAGCACCTGATTCTTTCTACTATCCTCTACCGTTACAAGACTCAGATTGGTCCAAAAATGTACTACTGCTGTCATATATGGGCAGAAGCTGGCTAGTCCTCATTTTCTAGTCTGGACGCAAATTTACTGTCGATGAAGTAACAATTAAAGCACTTTTGAAATATTTTTGTCTAAAATTTTCTAAACTTAAATTTCCCAGCATCTTCCATTTGTGTGTATGTGTAGCTGTATTAATATAAACAAACTTAGTCCAATGAAGTCCAAGAGGATGAAATGCATCACACATAAAACTTTTCCACTTAGATTTAGAAGGTTGGAGAGGACGAAGATCATCTTTAATAAGTTGGAAAATGATCCTGGAATAATCTACACAGATGAGAATATTACACAGGGGATGTGTACACAAACAGATGCAATGGCCATATTCTGGCTTCAGATCTCCATGAGAGATTTCATCATTTGGAATAAACTGGCCAGAAAAACTTGTGAGATGCCACACAATAACCTGCAAGCCCTCAAAAAATCCATCAATAAGACCTGGGTAGAATAACTCAAAAATACGCTCTTAAGTAGGCGCTTGAGGGGGCCGTCAGTGATGTTATTTGACTTGGTTCATCAGGGAGTTTCGGATCTTTCAACATCATACTCCCTATCACCAAATCGACCCAATCCGGGGAGATCAATCCCTGATCCCCCCTCGCAGTCTAATGCTAACAGCTACTCTGGCCTTTTTAATGAATTAGATGAAGAAAGACCATGTTTTCCGCACACCCGATTGGATGTTTGTAACAACCAATCTGCTGCATGAACTATCTTTTAAATGGTCCACAGTGGGAACTGGCTTCTTTTCTTTTTTTCGGTGGATAGCAGTTTCAACCAAGGAGGTAATCTTAATGTTCCTAAATTTAACCCTTTTCCCTAAGTATCGTATAGTGTCTTACTCTAAATATTTGCCGTTTGTAGAGAACATTGATGAAGGATTCATTAAAAAAGCTTGTGGTGCATTCAGAAAGAGGGTTGAGGATGTTATTGCCAAAGGTGGAGCAACTCTTGATGCCTAACAGTTTGAACTTGTGCCAGAATCAATTAGAAATAAATACCAGTAATGAAGCTTCCATTTGAACGTTATTTCAATTCTTCATGAGATTCCGACCCTTAGCTATGATTAATTAATGATGAAAATGTCATTTTCATTTATGATTGATTTCATCACAATTCTTCTGTTAACCTTGGAGAGTAATTATACATACTTATTGCTCAAAGTAGAGTTCAACAATGTTAAAAAATCCTTGGAGAATTCCAGTAAGATATCTTTAATTTATCCTAATCTATCCACAATATGCCACATTATCCTGAAATATATATATATATATATATATATATAATATATAAAAACTTTTTTTCAATTCTTTATGAGCTTTCTTTAGCTATTAATTAATAATGAACATGTCATTTTCATTTTTGATCTATTTCATCATGATTCTTCTGTTAAACTTGGAGAGTAATTATACATTCTTATTGCTCAAAGTAGAGTCCAATAGTGTTATAAAAACCTTCAAGAATTCTGGTAAGATATCTTTAACCATTTCTAAGATAGAACAGTTCAAAGCTTAATCTAACAATTGGACAATTTTGCTGTTATAACATACATATATACACACACAAGTATAGGATTGGTGTATACGGAATAAATTCCAATAACCAACAAATACTATTCTTAAAAGAGTGCTCAATACAGAGTAGAGCAAATATAATTATTTATTTGAAAATTATAACAAATATGTTATAAAATCACTCTCTCTCTCTCTCTCTCTATATATATATATATATATATATATATATATATATATATATTTGAGAGAGAGAGATTTTATCATTTACAATTCAACAGATTTTAATTTTCTCTAATGAGATTTCTAGAATAATCAGGCCTGTAGATGAAAATAAATATACTGTTTCATAAATAAATGGAGTGTCTACTCAAATATAAGTATCCATTTAAACATAATGTTTAAAGTGATAAATATTCCTTTGAAAGGAAAGTGAGTGCCTGGGAGGCCCAAGACGTCATGGAAGGAGTTGACAGAATGTGATTGTACACAGTGGAAGCTCTCTGCAGATGACCCTCATGACAGATGCATTTAGAGATCTGGAGTGAGAAATACCATGTGTGCATCTAACCAGTTACCTGGAGATGGGGGAGGGGGCTCACTAATATGGACAATGCTCCTGCACAATAAACAAAACCAACTGATAAAGAAGAAGGGAAGATATATATTATATGAAATACTGTTTCAGCTACTGTACCCAAGGCTTTTCTCAGATACCTAGAGTATTTTGGAATGTCAAATCTTGTTCTGAAAAGGCATGTACTTCATCTCCCATACATGTGGTACCTGAGTGCTGCTCTAACTGCTTACACCTGACAACCTGTCCACTGAATCTGTGACCTTCCAGTGACTCCTATAGTCTATAGATATGTTTTTTTCTTCCATGTCTCTTCATGGTGCTCTCTCTCTCTCTCTTGATTCTGTTTCTTTATCTGAATTGCCATATCACGTTGAAACACCAGTTCCTGTGCGATCACTGGAGTTAAGCAATGTCAAGCCTGGTCATTATATTGATTGCATACTGTATTGAATGAATTAGTTAACAAAAATCCAGAGAAAAAAAACTTACCATCAATGTCTTGTGTCAGGATGCACTCAATGTCTGGTAGTTTCGTTGCACAAGTGTTTTCCTCTAATTCATAGACCTTGTTTTTGTACTTGAGGATAGGCACACGTCCCTCTTTTGCAAAAAGAACGGGCCACTTTCGCTTCAAGATGACTGTATTCTGCAAACATAAATGAGAGTCTTTCAGAATGAAAACATTTTAAAATTGAATATGAATTACTTTTTTGGGGGAATGACTTTCAAATTTTTCAAATTGTACATATGGGAACTAGTTAGGACTACATAGAGACTCTGAGGTATTACGGTGTCTGTAGTAAGAACTTTGGACTTGTTCCATATTTTTGTATTACTCAAAATAAATGTTACTTTCCGCTATGGTACCTAGACTTATGAATTTAATCGCAGTACTAAATTGGCGGCAAGATCTCATTATTTTACAGTTGAAATGAATAGATGTAACCATAACAGTTTCTTCACTCACATTTCTTGCTTGTGGAACTCTCTTCCAGCTTCTAGCTTTCCAGTCAACTTTGATCTTTAAATTTAAATGCAATGTCAATTGTTATCTTCTGTCTTAATTCTTATTCTTTTATTGTCCTCTCTTCTTAATAGTAGTTTTTCTCATATTCTCTAATACTCAGTAACCCCTTGCATCATAGTGGCTTTATTGCCTTTGATCTTCAAAAATTTAAATGCAATATTAATCGTTATCTGGCTCCTTAATTGTAGTTTTTCTCATATACTCTAACACTCAGTAACCCCTTGTGTCCTGGTGGATTTATTGCCTTTGATTTTCAAAAGTTTAAATGCAATGTCAATCGTTATCTTCCGTCTTCTTAATTCTTGTTCTTTTATTGTCTTCTCTCCTTAATAGTAGTTTTTCTAATATTCTCTAACACTCAGTAACCCCTTGTGTCCTAGTGGCTTTATTGTCTTTCATCTTCAAAAATTTAAATGCAATGTCAACCGTTATCTTCTGTCTTAATTCTTGTTCTTTTATTGTCTTCTCTCCTTAATAGTAGTTTTTCTCATATTCTCTAACACTCAGTAACCCCTTGCTTCTTAGTGGCTTTATTACTTTACTTGGGGTGAAATGATTAAAAACAAAAAAAAAAAAAAAAAGTGAGTGTGTGTGTGTTGGGGGGGTAATATAGCAGTAAACATATGATAAAGAAGCCATAAATCATTGATAAAACATACAGTCGGCATCTAAAATGTCAGCCCAGGTCAAAAGTCAAAAGTTAACTTTTCATAACCATAAGTGATGAAAACCTGCTTAAATTTATGAGCATTTCACAGAGCAGATGAAGTATGGGTGGCCAAAAGCAACAAAACCTTATACCATCCACAATGGAAATTCCAAACATTAAAACATGTCTGGCTATATTTCCGAGATGAGGTCTTCGAATTATTTACACTATTTAATGTTGTCCTTATCTTTAGCCGATATTAAGCTGATGTTGAAATACTTTCAGGAAACTCAGGTAATGCTGTTTATTTTATTCAACAATGGGTTTTCTTGTTAATATCTTTGTAAATGTTAATAATCTTTTTTAAATATTCATTTCAATGTATCACTTTTTCAGATCAAAACTTAATTATTTAATAAAAATACTATATAATTAGTATACCGTGTCAAATGTCAACAAAAAATTTGTTAACCATTAACATTGTTGTATATTTTCATATTATTTTATGTTATCTTAACATTAATTCATGACACTTTTTTAAATAATTATTTTCATTATGTCACTTTTTCATATAACAATCTATTTGTTGTATAATAAATATGTAAACAAAATCAAAAATGAGGTTATGTATTTTCTGCTGGTCAACATTTAACCACAAATTATATTGATTTTATAATCATAGTTCTTATGTGAATATTAATCAGCATTCAAAGAGCTTTCTAAAGATATGCAACTTGACCATATTTAAAGATAGGAAAATATATTGGCATATAGCAAAATCTGCCATTTTGAATTTGACCTGTCTCTTGTAACTCAGGCCACAGTCAAAAGTCCACAACAAAATTTTGTACATATCTTGCCATAAAGCAGATAAATTAACTGTCAAACTTAAACAAAAATTAAAGATACGTTTTTTCGATAAATTATAGGTCAAAGTTTAAGGCCAAGGTCAAATTATCTTATTTGACCTTTAAACAAAAAAAACAAATAGATTATCTTTTAGATTCACCCAAGTGCTTTAAAACGGTATATAATTTAGCTTTGTAGGTGAAAAAGAACTGAAATATTGATAGTTAAATTTTGTGACTATTTTCCAAAATTCACCTTTTTGATAAAGGTCAAAGGGTCATATCTTGGGAGCCCTTTGACTTAGAGATTTAAAATAAATACCATTCAATTTGTATCATGAAGATCTATAAGTGTACCAAATTTGAAAAATAATTGGTGTGTCAGTGACGGTCAAATCCTTATTGATTTGACACGGAATGACTTCTTACTAAAAGTGCTCAGTATTATAGTATATATAAATATAAAAGTAGACACTGAGGTCAACACCAAGTTTTATGCTTGAACTCAATCTTCAGGTCATGAAGATTGCATTCAATCATGAAACAGACTAGCAGAACGTGTGTGTGTGTGTATATATATATATATATATATATATATATATACACACACACACACACACACACACACACACACACACATACATACACGCACACACTCTCTGTTACAGACCAATTGACACAACACAAAATGTAAGAAGAAAAATGGTAAAAAAAATACCGAAATAAAATTTAATAAGATTTAATTATATAACAAAACAACATAGGAAGCATGTCTGTGTGGAAAGGTGTGTGCAGTATATGTGATATGAAAATCAAAATAAACATTTAGCTTTTGTCCCTTGCCTGAAATAAAACAAGTTTTCTCTTTTTCCTTTTCTCTTTTTTTTTCCTCTTCCCTTTCAGTTCAGTCCTTAGCTCTCATATTCACATGTGTAGGAATATCTTTTATAATCTCTTTCTCTTTCTTGACTGTTGCAATTTTTGGCCCTAAAGTGATAGTCGTTTCTGTTTTCACATCTTCAGCAATATAAAATTCCTCTTTCCGCCAGGAAAGATTCAGTGCCATGATGATTGTTGCTTTCTCCAATTCAATAATTGGATGAATCACACATGTTTTTGCCTTTGGTGATTAATACATTGAATAATTTACCAAGTGCATCTGGTTTAGGACTATTTGACCTGCCAAATATATGTCCATATATGGCTTAGGGTGTGTGAGAGTTAGGACTATAGACTTCATTACACAATCCCTTTGGTTGACAATAACAAGCAACTTTTCCCACTCAAATTTTCATATTAGATCATGTGATTCTGCACGTATGTGAGAGACTATTTTTAGATCTCACCCAATTCTATTTCTGAGGGTCAGTAGTCTGCCTGCCTGATTATTCTGAAGCCGTCTGACTGCCGTCTTCAACAGGTTGATAGAGAGAGAGTGAATGAAAAAGAGAGATGGTTTGCTATAGTGATGTGGCACAAAGCCGAAAGTATGGGGCAGCCAGTGAGGATCAAACTCACTACTCAGTTGTAATTGTTCTGGTGGGAGAAAGTTTGCTAACCATTACACCACCTCAGGGTGCCTATAAGTTTGGTTTGCTTTAAGTGTAAAGTGTAACTGTGTTTAGGGGTTTGGCTGCATAAGGATGTAACAACATACACATATGCTTTCTGGTGAATAGCATATTCTATAAGATTTTTTAATAGGAATATAGTAAAAAGTAGCTTCAATGCAATGCCCGATATGCAGAGCATCATTAACGGACATAACCAGAAAGTGTTGAGGGTTAAATCTACAAGTAAAACACAAACCTGTAATTTTAGGAAAACTGAAAATTGCCCCTTAAATGGACAATGTTTGATTGAGAACACTGTATACAAAGCTGAAGTTAAGGCAGAAAGCCTCCACATGATCAATTATATATTCAAGAGGGAGTATGTTTAAAAAAAGAGTAACCATAAACATTGTTCAGATTGAGTAGGTATTGTAACAGCACAGATTGGTTGAGAGATATCTGGAAAATAAAAGTTGAAGAGAACACACCCATCTAAAGATGAAGCATTAATCAACAAAAGTAAGAGCTATGCATGGGTGGGGGGAAAGAAATTTTGCAAATTGTGCTAGGAAGAAAAGTTGGGCATCTTGATGTTTCTGAATCCAAGCTTGCTATTGAATAAGAGAACGGAAATCCTAATGGGATGTAGACAATACAAAAAAAGTTTTTAAAAGCTCACATGGAACCTAGATGACTTGCATCCAATTAAAACAAAAAAAACAAAAAAAAAAACTATGTGTTCTCCATATTTAAGGCATAAACTGTGAGCAACACATGATAAAGATTGAACCTAGGCTGATGATCCCTTACTTTTGATGGTGAAACTAAACTTGCTTTGGTTTTATTTTTTTTTATTCTTACATTTTATAGGTTCTACTTTGTATTGAGCACTTTTAATTACCAATTTTATCATAGTATGAAGTTACCTACTATGACTGTGTTTAGTTATATATGGTAATTACCACTTCTTACTCTTTCTCAACCTTGAAATCACTTGTAATAGCTTCCATCTCATTGAAGCCTCCATGGTTATGAAGATGACACTTGAAACTGGCATTCAATTTCATATTCATCAGGCATATATGACAAATAAATTTTAATGGGTTGATTGGATCTGCATGGTTTATAACTCTGTGTACCACCATGTGCTTTTTCAGTCCAGATGATGATCTGCAAACCTTGTTGCAAACAAAACACACACATATATATATATATATATATATATGAAGAAATATAGTTTTAAGGTGTTGTATATTTATGGGATAAAATGCTCAATATCAGAGATAGAGCGTATGTAAATATAAAAGTGAACATTGAAGTCAACACTTAGAGGCAACAGGCTGTTTCATGCTAGATGCAATCAGGCTAGCCTGACGATTGCATCTAGCATGAAACAGCCTGTTTCCTCCGAGTGTTGACTTCAATGTTTACTTATATATCAGCTGGTTGTCTCCATGATATCTGTGGCTATACTTTTGACGATAGGGTGTCCAATACTGATCATTTCGCAAAATGCAACACTGGTGGAATTGAGACTTTTCTGATGAAGTCATGACTTCGCTGGGTTAG